AGCCAAAACCACTACACCACAGAAATTCAATCTTTACAAGGAACCTTTGGTAAAATTGTCTCACAAATAAGGATTTTATAGGCCAACCTGAGTTGGTGAATCACTGCCTAGAATATTATTCATTACATTCTGAAGTAGCAAACTAAAGTAGTGAAAAAGATTGCTTATGTTGGCGGATTATAACTATACAAAGCTACACCATTTAAATCACTCTATGATCCGTCTCTTCCTATTCATGTCCTAATCTTTTGGCATATCAAATGCGATTACATACACAAAAATCAAAATGAAAAAACTCATTTATTCAGTCTATTAAAACAAAACTTTAGAAGAAGCTACAATGAAGCAATAGGTTAATAAGGATGAAAGTGAAATGACGTGAGTACTAGGGTTTTTTTTTTTTCTATTACAGCTATATTTGATATGCTCCTATTACACCCATGATAAGATTAGGCAATCACCTAAAATTTAAGACTCAAAAAATAGACAGGCAAGGATATCACCTTGGGCTGTCCATTTTTTTAATGTTTACCAGCTGAAGAAACTTTGGATGATCAAGAACCTTCTCAGAGCAAGCCAACCAAAAATTATATCCTAAAAGTTGTATCATATGTAGCAAAAGCTATTTTAAATTATACGGAAGTTAAACAACAAAACTGCCATTATCAGTACCAAAATCAGAGGACAAAACTTCAAAATTGATGTTAGATCAACATTCAATCATAAAATTTATGCAAAAGTAATGAAATGAATCCAAATTTGAGTGTTTTCTAGTACCAAAGAGTTTTTTTCTAGTACCAACATGCTTCTTAGAAGCACCATGACCTAAACCATTAATGTTGAGTAGTTAAGGGTCGGCTAAAACATCAACCATAGGTAATGCGCCACAACATGAACATTAGGAAATAATTCGTTAGAACATCAACCTAAGTTATGTACAACAACTTAAATTGATTTTAGTTGAAAAATATGTAAGGTTGAATTTGGGGTGTAAACAAGTAGAGCCTAGCTCGAGTCGACCTAACCCAAGCTCGGCTTGTTGGCCAAATCGTGAACTCAAACTTGAGTTTGAGCTCAAAGGGCATGATCTAGCTCGGCTCGTGCAATAAAGGAGAGCTCGCAAGCCAGCTCATAAGGTCGCCACAAAAACGCAAGAAGAATAGGTCGACCGTCGACGAGATCAAAACCAGAGAAGAAGAAGGCATTATTGTTGCGGTTTCTTCACGCGGAGAAGAAGACCTTGAACTAAAGTTAATTGGAGTAATGAATGAAAGCTTTAGCTCATTTTTCTTGGGAATATGGCCTTAATTTCTTATTTATTATTTTTATAAAAAGTTGTTGTAGTATGCAACTTTAGTAATTAATATTGCAGCATCCTTTATTAGGCTACAGCTTTAGTCATTAATGCAATTTTTTTTTTTCGTAAATGTTTAAATTTATTGAAAAATAATAATTATTTTTTTTCAAAAAAATCGTATAAGTCATTCGAGCCAACTCATGAGTCGAGCCTCATAAGCTCAAACTCGAGTTGTTTAAAAAACGAGCTCGAGCTTGAGCTCGTGACTCGATAAGCTCATTATCGAGTCGAGTACGAGCCAGCACAGCTCACTTTACACCATCTAGGTTGAATACGTAAAAAGGTTAGATTAGTTTTGTTGCATTGAATTTGAGGATCTCGAATGAAAGACATGAGAATTGGCTTACACGATGATTAGAAGAATAATTATGTTAGACCGGCCCACTGGACCGGTCTAGCCGGTCCGCACGGGACCGGCCCAGACGCGGATGGGGCGAAATCTCTGCCTCCTGCGGAGATCGGACGGTCCGCACGCCTAAGCGGAGCCTTGTAGGAAGAATTTTTGAGGATTTTGAGAGGGAAATTTGAATGTAGGGATTGTTTAGGGATTTCCTTTTGATTAGTATGCATTAAATGCCTTTGTTTTCCTAGAGTTAGGGCATCTTGAATTTGGCTGAAATTTTGAGATATCTTAGATTTAGGTTTTCTTTGGGCTCTAGCAGCGTCTAGAGATTTGGGAGAGATCGATCCTCCTCTCGAATAGAGGATCAATTGTCTTTTGCTATTTTCCATTTCCCTTTCATAAAAAAAAATTCAAATTATCTACTATTTTTTTGGTTTGGTGCAGACTTTTGTGAAGATTTCTCGTTGTTTTTTGAAGATTGATAGGAAATACTTGAGATCTACAAGTGTTTCCTATCAAATTCATATGACTTGTTTGCAAGAAACAAATGTAAAGGAGAAAAATACAAAGGATAATGGAAGGTTATAAGCTATTGTATATCGGAATGGTTAACAACATAAATTAGGTATGGATAGTAGTGGATATATAGTTGACAGAAGAAATTATTGAGATAAATAGGGTTAGTAATAGGATGATTGCTATTAAGATATTATTATTGAGGCATTGTAAATGTGGTCAGCGCTTATATTTGTTAAGTTGGAAGTTGGATCAAAAAAATATTTAATCTATTTTTATGAAAAATAAATGAACTATTAAAACATATAGATGAGGAGGAACAAATATTTATTTGGGTGATTTAAATAGACATACAGATTAAAGTAAGATACACCAAAAGAGGATTCATGGTGGGTTTGGAATAGAAGATAAAAATGAAATGAGAGAAACTATACTTGATTTGTAACATTAACAAACACATGCTTTTGAAAAAAGAGAAGAGCACTCAATTACTTTCAAAAGCCGAGCCATCAAATAACAAATAACTTTTTTACTTAAAAGGAAAGAAAAAAACTTTTTGCAAAATTTTAAATGATTCTAGAAGAGAGTTTAACCACATGGCACATAGTAGTTATTATAAATGTATATCTTAAGAGTATACAAAAATGAAAGAAGATTACTTTTCTTATAAAAAAGATGGTGGAATTTGAAATGTAAGAAATTATTAATCCTTTAAGTTCGGACACTAAGAGAGGTAAATTAGATTTCTTTAGTTGAGCAAAACCTATTGTGGGATAATATGGCAATTTCCACCAAATATTACTGTAGAAGTTTCAAAAAAATTTAAAAACATATGATACATAAATAAATAGATTTGGTCGACAAAGTTGTCATGAAAGAAATTTGAAATTTTAAAATTTGGCAAAAGTCAAATACAACATAAGCATACAATGATTATGGGAAAGCAATGAGTCCTTTAAAGAGGTCAATGAGCAAAGAAAAGCTATAATTTTTAACGATTTATAAAATAGACTTCAACTAATGATGGAGAGATGGAGATATATAATATAAGACAAGTGATACGAGATATACAGTCATAGAGACAATGATAAAATTATATGCATTATACATAAAGGTAATAGATTCCCAGTCAAAGATGAAAAAATCAAAGAAAGAGAAAAATTAGTAATATAAAAATAAATAAATGAAATTTTGAGGAAGAAATTTTTTTGGGTGACCATAATAAAAAAACTAATGGATTATATTATACACTAATCCAAATAAATAAAGCGAGGCCATCTCTAAAAAATGATGCATAACAGTGACAATTTAGGTCTAGCTATAACATAATTAAGATTTAGAGAGTTATCGAAGGTCTTATAATGTTTTGGTTAATAGATCTTTTTCAATTAACTTGTTAAAGATCAAGAGGTTGACAAACAATTGGATAAAAAGTAATATGGTTTCAATATTTAAGAATAAAAGATATAGTAAATATTATAGCAATAATAGAGGAATTAAACTTATGAGTCATGCAATAAAGTTATGGGATACAATGATAGAATATGGACTTCAAAAGATTACAAAAATATCAAAAAAAGTAATTTGATTTCATGCCAAAAAGATCTAGTGAAGCACTTTTGTCTATTAATATAATTAATGAAAAAATATATAAAGAAAAAAAAAAGATCTTCATATAATTTTTATTGAACTTAAGAAAGCATATAATCGAGCACCATGAAAACTAACTTGGTCAGCATAAAGGAAAATTTGTGTGAGCCAAAGATATATTGAAGTTATTAAAGCTTTATATGATAGAGCATTGACTATTATTAAAAAAAAATTTAATGACCAAAGAGTTTTCAATTATAATAGAATTATATTAAAGATTAGTATTGAGGTGTGATGGGTTTAGTATCTTAAATATATAGTATGCAAAATATATAAGAATATTAATGAGTATATAACATCTACAGCTAAGAAAGAATGGTCAAAATGAAGGTAAAAAAAATGGTCAAAATGAAGAAGCATCTTAGGAGTATGAAGCCATGACAGTATAACAAGAAGAATTAGAGGTCAATATTAAAGTATTACAATTAAGTTGGTTATGTTGCATGGTTCAGAGTATTGAGCAGTGGAAAAAAAATCATTAACATATAAGTTGAGTGTAAGAATAATTTAAAAGATAACTATAGTAAAGAAATGGTTGGAGTGAAATCTATTTAAGATAAGATAGTTGAAAAAAAAAAAATAGATGGTTGGACATGTACAATCAATGGTCGAAAATGCACCAGCTTAATGCATAGATAAAATTAGGGTCAAAGAATTAGAAACAAAAAAGGGTGGGTACATCTGAGATAAGGTGGATAGAAATTGTTCAAAAAATTTTGGGAAGAAATAGATTTAATACCCAAGCAAGACTCGACAAAAATAAATGAAAAATGAATATTCATAAATCAATCCCAAATAGTTGGGATAAAGCTGATAATAAACTGATGAAACAACAAAGCAAAGTAAAAAATTGAGCTTAATATTTGCAAAGATTTATATATAACCATTTATAGTTTAGAGAATTATTTAGTCCCGAATCGTGATAAGCAGAATGCAATTAAGTATTCAAAAATTTAACTTGAAAAGCATACAGAAAGTGAAGGAACAAGAATATTTTCATTCTTACAATTCTTCAAATTACAAAATTCCCATTATGCATTAACTTCCAAAATAAAAATAACATAGTAGTAGTCAGCAGTGCGAGCGCTGGATACACGATAGAGACAGAAAGAATTCTAAGGGTTCAATTCGGACCTGTAATAGATTGATTTCATGTTGTTCTGCAGATTCTCGGCATGGAAGATGGAAAGATCTTCGCCGTCGTCGCCTGATTTTCCTTCCGAAGAAGATCTTGTGCTGTCTTGCACGGCCATGGCTGAGATCTGGGGAAGGAGGAAAAGATCGGTGTGAAATGCGTCTAGTAAACTTCGGTGAAGAGGGCTAGGGGAGAGCGGCGAAGCAAAGCAGCGAAGAGTGTTTTTAGGTTTTTTTTTTTTTTATCCTAATGAATAATTAATTAGTAATTTATAAACTAATTAAGTATTATAAATTTATTTAATAAATTAAATCATAAATATTATTAATTTTTAAATTTATTATTTTTAATTAATTGATATTTATTATTACAGTTGTTTTTAAATTTAAAGTAATATAACTAATTTAATTAATATCAAATAATATTAAAATATTATAATAAAAAATCCTCCTCTTTCTCCCCTAAATCCTATACCCCAAATTCTTAAAACCATTGAGAGCAAAGGAGTAAGTCACGATTAGAACTTGTTGAAGAAGACATCGATGAGAAAATACTAACAAACTACAATTCAATATGAGTGCTTCATACTTATCACATTTATGTATTTTGTTATTATTTTATTTATATTCTAACCATGAAAACATTTGACATTCTTATTCGTAATTATTTAAAAATTAATATTTTATACTAAAAAACTACTTTAAGAAGCAGTAAGAAAGTCATCATAAGTTTATTTGGGACGACTTTCTTACTATTTCTTAAAGCAGCTTTCTAGACTACTGCTTAAAGCAGCTTTCTAACCTAGAAAGCTGCTCTAAGAACAGTAAAAAAATTATCTCAAACGAAGCCTAAATCTCTAATTGATAAACAAAATGTATTATTTCTCGAAGTTTTTTACTTCATGAGTTTGTTGGATACTTTATTTATTGAAATGTTGATCTCTCTAAGAATAATTTGACATCAATGATGGTTCATGAATGAAGGTACAATACTAGAAAGTTAGATTTTTCGTCGTAGTTGTTAGGAGTGATTTTAGAACTGCTACCAAAAACCTATTTTAGCACCGGTTAAAACCGGTGCAATTAGCACCACTTTTTAAAACTACGGTGTACTTCGTAAAATCTACCTTGTTGGACCTCAAACCGTTGTGGAATGTCATTGCAGCGCATTGCAATTACAGCGGGAGTGTCTATAATAAAAATTGTGACGGTTATAACTGCTAGGATTGATCAAAAATTGTGCTGTGATAGTCCGATTTTTTGGTTGTGGTATTATATGAATAATATGATATTTATGAAGTCTTCATCAAGGTGAATACACTAGATAAAGATGGACCGACTTTGAAAAATTTAAAGAGTCTAACCATAATGCTCATGATGAGAAGGAGCTACGGCTCCAATTCGGTAGCCCCATCGCCCCCTCCTCCCCCCACCCCAAAAAGCCTACCTATTTCAATCTCTATCAGAGCAGCTCAACCAACTTGAAGACTGTACATGCTGGACATTAAAAACTTTCTTTGTCATTAGAATCACCCTGACATGATGATTGCTTGACTATAAATTTGCATAAAATAAATATCATCCTCTTAAGTGTTTTAAGATCAAGGAATTTCATCAAAATTTATTCAATTAAGTGAAATTTCTTGCTTCATAATAGTTGCCTAGTATTTTCAAAGCATTAAATATGAAGTTCAAAAATATTTTTTAATATTTAGGGAACACCAATAGGAAATGTAGTGGGGCAACGATTGCCAGAGGAATAAAGACATATAACAATAATTAGAGGACTATAATTTGGCAATGGAGAGTGAAGGATTATAGTTGAGCGACGATGGTCAAAAGATTGTAGTCAAATGGCAGTGGTCAGAGGACCATAGTTAGTCATGATGTTATGAGAATTGTAGTCAGGAGATAGATGTTACGAGATAGTAATCGGATGATGATAATTAGAGAATTATAGTCTGATGACGATTGTTAGAGCACCATAGCCTTGTGACAATTATCGAAGTGTCGCTGTCAGACAATATTGGTTAGATGGTTATTATAGTGGTATGACACTGATTGGAGGACCTAACAAGGTGGCTAAGGCCAAAGGACCATAGTCAAGCGACGATGGTCAAAGAATCATTAATAGACAATGGTGATCAAAAGACTATGATCATAAAATGGTCGTCGGAGGACTATAATCAAGCGACTGTGATTCGAGTATTATAGTTAGCGATGGTGATTGGAAGATCATTGTCAGGCAACAATGATCAAAGGATCGTACTCGAGTGATAATGGTCGGAGGACTAAACTTGGGAGGCTATACTCGGGTGACGATGATCAGATGATCATAATTAGATAATAGCGATCAAATGACCTAATTGAATAATTTACCCCAATTTTCTACTAAACTGACTTAGGGGTCTAACTTGATTAATGAATCTTTGAACAACTTTGGACTTGAAAATTTAATGTTCACTACCAATATTGGTACCCCACCATAGTCTACATCACGGGCCTTGTCAAATGACTATCACCATCATATAAATCAACTTATTTGGTATTCAATAAAAATAAAAATAAAATATTTTATTACATATAAAAATATAAATTAAAAAATTAGTATAACAAGTTCTTTAAAACCAATTTAACCCTTCCTGTTCTGAGGCTGTTATTCTCAAGAGCTCTCGACGTGGCAGTCCACTGATCTGCACATTTAAGAAGTTAATTAACACACGGTCAAGGTAATTAATCAAATGTTAACACTAATCACCTTTTAGTTAAGAACCCGACAGGGCCTGACAAAGTAATCAATTAATTAACCATACGTGATTAGAAATACATTATCATAATTAACCCCACTTCTTTACCTGAGGGTTTTTACCTGAGGGTTTTTAATTATGTTCAATAGTTTAAGACCGAATCTGCGCGAGAGTTGAAAATATTACACTATATAAATAATCAATTTCGTCCCTCTCAGTACGCTTTTGTTGTCTTACTGAAGTTGGATTATCTTAATTAATCCTTGTCAGCATTAGGCTGGTAAATTTTTCACATTTGCACGACTCTCAAAGCAATGTTGACTTAGGTTGAGTGTGGCTTGACCTGCATAAGATTAAAGAAGTTTAAACTAAAGAAGTTGATAATCTTAGGCTTCATTTGAGTTGACTTTTTTATTGCTTTATAACGTAGCTTTAAGCTTCATTTGGGGTGGCTTTCTTACTATTTAAAACAACTTTTTAGTTCAAATTACATACGCAATGTTCGAATTCAAGACCTCTTGGTTGGTAGTCAAAGCCCCCAATCAACAAACAAAGGTGAGCTACATATTAGTTGAAGATGATTAGTATGCTCGACTGCGAGCTAGTAATAGAAAGAGCAAGCTCTTAATCATACGATTGTGTTTATCCCTGGCTGATAGTTTTGACACGCTCTTCTAAAATTTGTGCAATGATATTATAAATAGATCGACTTGAAGGAGAGAATTATAAATATGCGGGATTTAAATATTGCATATAATTTATCAAAATTAAAATGTTAGAAAAAACATTACTTCCCTTTAGATTTTAATTTATTTTTATTAGATGTAATTTCTTATGTACAATCAACATCTTGTTATAATAATGGGATCCTCCAATGTGAACCTATTGATAAGTATGAAAAGGAATGATGTATATAATCTAACCCTAATTATCAAATGTGAAATTATGAATGAAAATTTATTTGCATTTTCTCTACTTCTTTCGAACCAAACAAGCCATAAGGATTTCCTTGTAATTCTAAATCACCATCCATTTGGCTTTGAGATTGATGAAATAGAACTTGCTATTTTATTTAATAACTTGCTATTTGTGAATATTAAAAGTGAGAAGAGCAAGCAGCAAAAACAAAAGACACAAAAGGAGCTAGGTTGGTATCTTAAAATGTACACATTGGAAATCTAGCTTTGAATAGCTAACTTTTGGATTCTCTCCTTCAAAAAAATCCTATGTCCCCCCTTCCTCAGTACATCCTCTTTCTTCTCTTAAGCTTCATTAGGACAGTTTTTTTATTGCTTTCTAATAGCTTTTTAGTACAAAAATTTGTAGTTCAAATTTGTACTAAAGTCATTTTATAAAGTATGGAAAAAGCCGGCCCTTAGGCTTCGCTTGGGGCGGCTTTTTTACTGCTTCTTAAAACAGTTTTCTAGTTTAAAAATTAAAATTTTTGTACTAAAAAACTATTTTAAGAAGCAATAAAAAATCCTTCCCAAATGAAGCCTTAAACTACTCATTGTAGTTTTGACCGTAAAATTTTCCTAAGAGAAAGAAAAAGGGCATGGCGTGTGCAAGGTTCACAAATCTCTTCCTTGGTCTGTTGCTCTCTTGGTTAGCTGTTTGTGAATCCACTTCTTTAGCTCAAATTGGTAAGCCTTTTAATGAAGATTCCACGGTGATTATTAGTTCACTGATAGTAATCTGACTGATTCTTCCTATGCAGCATCAGCAACAAGGAACAGAGACAACCATGATTACAAAATAGATTCAAGTTGTTAACTATAAGTTTACATTTTACTTAAGTTTTTTATACTTGCGGGATCTTCATTTCAAGACTGAGAGGATGAGAAAGATGAAGCTTATTACAGGAAGGAAGATGAGAGTTTTCGTTAACACAATTTCTAAGCCTTCTGCAGCAAAATGTGGTCATGAAGATCATCTGAGCAAGGAGTGTAAGAAGAGAGTTCTTACAGGTACTCGTATTTTCAGACCATTCAGTGCAGACTATCACAAACCCAAACCACACCCACCAAAGAACAACTGAAGCAGCTCTTAAGTTTTGGGTTTCTATCATCTATGAATGAGAAAATGGAGAAATTTTGATGTATGGTAGGATTTAGGGCAATGCCTTTACATGTACAAAGTGACTGCAAGAGAAGTTCTGATGGAAATATCAAATTATTGTTCTTAAGAGCTTTTGATGGTTGTTCAGTCTGTTTGTCTACCTTCAGAAAGAATTTAGGTTCAATTTGACAATGTGTGGTTTGAGAGAAAGATGGATGGGATTTTTTGCTATGGGAATATTAGATTTTCTTATGCAGGAGAGGCAAACAAACCTCCAAACAAGAAAGTAGCAGACTCAAACAAAATCAGAAAGGTATTTTTATCACAAACTTCTAGAAATAAAATGATTATGAAGGTAATATTTCATGTATTTCCCTTACAGAATGAGAAAATGAAAGGAGATGAACTGTTAAAAATTCAAACTTTTACAAAA